AGGAGCAGGGGTAGTAGCCTGAGGACCTTTCCGATGCCTTCCCTTGGAGCGTAAATGTGGTCTTGTGGTCTGTCCACCCATCTCATTCACTAGCTCCTCCTCGGTGAACAGACCTTTCTGCTCAGCTCAGCCTCTGAGGTGAGTTGAACTGGGGACTACCTTCACTGTTTCCATAGGGTTCGGTGACCAGTTTCATGAGACTTTGAGAAGGGGGGGTGGGGGCGGGCCAGTCACTTCTGGTTTACGCTTTGGCCAACAGCAGTGCAATGGACCAGGAGCAGTCTGGACCTTGCCTGGCAATTCAGTACACTTTTGTGTGATGAGGGGGAGTAGGAATGACCATCAAAGGAGGTGGACACTGATCTCTTGTCTCAGCTGTGACTCCACACCTGATGTGGCAAATTTTTCCACAAATCAACATCTCTTGGTGATCACCTCTAAGCTGAGTTGGTGGAGATTTAATATAATTTGACTGTAACTAAACCAGCTTTTTCTTAACAAGTTGTCACCTCAGGATGGAGTTTGGGTATTCTGCTTTTCCTGTTCATGGGTCAGCTCAGTTGCAGCTTGAGTTTTCTCTGATTCACTGGTTCCTTTGAGGCACAGGTACACATGCAGATCTCCTTGCCGGCTGTGGATATGTTCTGAAAATGGCTTTTTATCTCACTTATGTCTTAAGAGATCTCTTGTCCTGGCAGCTTGCAGATTGAAGTCAGACTTAGCACAACCATTTGGGGAGGCTCTGGAAAAGACCAAAAGATGTCTATTTGTTACTACTTTCCTCTGCATTTTAAGAAGGGGTTTGAGACCTTGCTCATGTGGCATTAAAAGGTATCACAAACTTGAAATATGCACATGAGTATGAAGTTGCATGAAATGGCTGGGCTCCCTATTTTACATAGAGTGACCAAGTGTTGCAGCTGTTTCTGTAAAGGTAGAGGTAGCCCTCGCAGTAACCAGTTTCTGCAGAAGTGCCTGGGGGCTTTGATAAACTGAATTTTGAGCAGAGTTTGTGTGAGATGGACACACCAGTCTTGAAAGCTCAGTTACGCTTACAGAGCATGATGAAGAGTTTGCATTCATGGCCAAAGTAACTGCAGAGTATGGCATTGCAAAAGGTTTTTGTATTACAAAACCTGATTTTGCTGGTAAGTATGTAAATAGGAAGCTCATTACTGAAATCGGGATTCTGTAAGTCATTTTTCATAGAAGCCATTTTTAATATTGAGCAAAGGTTTTTTCATCCACTTTTATGAAAAGCAAGATAATGATAAAAAGTGTTCTTTACAACCTGTAAACTGACTACTGTTGAATTTCTGCATCTCTGGCTGTCACACTTCCTTCAGCTTGTAAAAAATACACAGCAGTGCTGAAATGGTCTTGGCTGTACAGTTGTTGCACTTTAAAAGCTATGTACCTATCCTACCAAGCCTTCAAAAGACACAGCTGGGCATCTCTCTTCTGCAAAGGAGCTATTTTTGCCATAATCTCTGCCTTGTTCTCTGTTTAGGAAACCAGCTGTCCCCATGGGCAGCAGCAGCTCTGTTACCCCTTCTGTATGCGGCAGAGTGGTTTGTCAGCCAACTGGAAATTTGGTTTTAATGTGTGCTGGAATGGGTCAACGTAGGAACCTTTTGACTACTTCTGAGTTGACTTTTGTGGATGGAGGATTAGCAAGTGTGTCCCAGTGGTGGCTCCATGGCAGCTGCACAGCGAGGGCCTTCAGCTGGATGTGCTGCGATCTACTTACAGCTAGGCTCCATGCTGGAGGCCAGTCTGCAGCTCTAGACAAATGCAGATCCATCAAACTGCATATACATGTAGCCTGCACAGGCATTGGCATCCTCCTCATAGCCATGGAGTCTTGCACTGCGTGCTGTGACAAACCCTGAAAGATCGTCTTCCCATGCTCACATTCCCTTGTCTGAGCATCGCATCTTCTGATGGTGGTGATTTTATTTCTCCTTGTCTGGAATGGAGATTTCTCTTTTATTTTAATCCTTGGGGTAGGGCTAGTGAGAAAAATGCCTCCTTCAAATCCAGTGAGTCATCTCTGTCAATGTGAGCAGGTTGGATCTGGCACTTCTGGAAGCAGTAGATCAGGTTGACTTGGTTGATATTTGGGGAAAAAGACCTGGCTTTCAGGAATGTATCCAGGCGATGAAGGGTGCAGCTCTAGTCTATGACCTAAGGTATTGCCTGCCACCACTGCTGTTTGCAGACTGCTGTGGTGTAAGTAGGTACAACCTTCAACCTTACCCTGCAGCAATATAGGCTGGTCCTGGTTGTGGTCATTTTGAAATGTTTAAATGGTTTTGAAATTAGTCTTGTTTAATAGGCCCTTGAAACTAAACCCAAAACTCAGGTGAACATATGGCCATGCCTGTTTCTGCTTTCAGGTAATAACGTGTGATAAGAGCTTTTACAGCATATTTGAAAAGTACTTAAAAGCTTTGGCTTATTAAAAAAATGTAATTCCCCCTTGCTAATAATTTTTGTGGGACTTTGAACCTTCTCTCCATCTCTCCCTTCCTCTCACACATCCCTGTATAAAGCAGTCCCCTCACATGTTGTGCTGTGCATCATCAGCCCTGTTTCTCTGGACACAGCAGGCTCTGAACAATCTATATGTGAATGTACGCATAGGATGGCAAAAACCGTACTGCAGCGAACTACTTCCCTGGTGACGGATTTCCCTGGGACTTTCACAGAGCCCTGTATCCCTGTTTGACTTCCGTGGCTTTTTTGTAAGCAAACATCCTTGCCACTCCCAGCTTTCCTCCTTTGCCCTCCCTGCTAAGATCATTTCCTTTCAGTGACCAAAGGGATGGCTGTTTTTGTTAAAACTTCAGGCCAAAACAGAAGGCATACAGAAATGCCTTCTGTTGGTTTCTAAGGGAGAATCGTGCACTTGTAAAATGAACTTACCATGTGCAGATACCCCCAAAGGTGATGAGATGCTTTAATTATATTTGGAGCACTAGCTCTCTCTGGTGCTTTGAAGCAGGTTCCCAAAGAGAGATATTTAATCAAATTTATGTTTATTTCAGGCTTACCCTCTCTAGATCCATCCAACAGCTCTACAACTTCTTCTTCAGGTCCTTTGACAGGCTTTTCAGCAAACATACAAGGAGCACGGGTTTACCTTCAAGGGCCAGCGCCTGTTGGGACTCCCAGCTTTAACAGACAGCATTTTTCACCACATCCTTGGACAAGCGCAACAAATTCATGTAGGAACTTCATGGGTCTGTCTTAGTTAACTGTAAATTCATAGCTATTGTCTTTAGTAGATCTGTAACTTGAGGGGAAATTACCCAGTGATGCACAAAATGCTTTCCAATTGCTTTTACCGGCTGTGAGGATGACATGCAAATCCCCAGCTGTACTATTTTGTGGTTTTTTCCCATGTAAAATGCCACTGGTTCTGGTAGCATTACTAAAGGCATATTTGGGCAAAAAATCAGTCATCGTAGGCTCTGAGAGGAGAGGGCATGAAGCTGTGGGGGAGTGGACGTGATTATATCAAGCTAAAGATTCCCCTCTAAATAGTATGCGTGTAATATTAGGTGGAAATGTCATGTTTGCCATGGTTTGAAGTTATACTTGCCCTTTTTCATTTATTTTTTTTTTTTAATTGGGATTCTGGAATTATTTCATGTTACTTAAAACGTTCCAAAATCTTTAAGCATTATCTGAGGTAACAGTGGGTTTTCCTCCTAATGGGAAGAACATGGAAGTAGCTTTACAGAAAATATGAGTCTTTGATTCAGAATTTGAAGTGAAGAGGCTTTTCATGTCACTGCATGCAACTTCATTGCCACTCTGAGCTTAAGAACCAAAACATTTACATGAGTGCTCAAAGGAAGTTGGGTTTCCTAAGAAGAGTCAGTGACGCTTCTGAGTTTGGTGGGACTTACGCTCTTAGGTTACACATGTGGCTTTGGGAAGCTGTCCAATTTATCTTCTGCTGGAAATGGTGGATACCAAAACCAGGCTGTTTATTTATGGTATTTTGGCTTATGTTTTCACCTCTTCATGAAACTCTTCCATGTTTCTTATTCTTTCTTGTAATTAATTTAGATGTGCTGCTATGTCATGAGAATATCACATCAGAATGATTCTGATGGCTGAAAGCATTTGTGTTACAATGTTGATTTTAGAATGAAAATAAACTCTAAACAGAATTTCTGCGAAAGGCTTGAAGAATGCTTGCCAAAAAAGCCTTTAAAACCTTTTTTATCATTTGCTTTGAGATAACATTGGGGGGATATAGCGGGTAGCATTTACGCTCGCTAGCTTGTGTGCTTTATGTGTAATTAAGCAAGAGAAATATTATTTTCAGCAGGTGAATCTCCTATTCCATCAGTTTCCTCAGGATCATCTTCACCCCTTTCAGCTGCTTCTGCACCTTCTAACCTGGGCCAGCCAAAAACGGGTAACGCCAATCAAGATCGAAAGGTACCCCCTCCCATCGGAACAGAAAGGCTTGCGAGAATTCGACAGGGAGGATCTGTCACTCCTACACCCTTAGGAACCAATTTCACAGCTCCTGTCGGTCATAGCGGTATTTGGTCCTTTGGAGTTAACAGTGTATCTGGTAAGTCTGCTGTACAGCCTAGGGTAGCCTAAAGAAACTCCTAGGGCCTTTTGGAAGTCCTACATTTGAAAAGAAAGTTGGGGAGGAGGAATGAAGTTCCATAGTCTGTAATCAACTGCCACGTAGTATGTCGTGAAGGGAGAAGTGGTGTCAATGGTGGGAGAATGTGTATCAATGAACGCGCTGTGTTTTCTCCTAATGTCACTGGTTCTCACCCAACCTAGATTATCTGTGAGCATACACTTGTAAACCCTGAGAACGGTTTAGAAATTCCGTATTAAGTCTATTGAATGATACAGAATTTAAAAAGTAAACAGCTTTTATCTGTTAAGGGATTCCATTTCCAAGTCTGACCCTTGGCCTAAAAGGACAACTGCCTCTGTCCAAGTTTGTAGCTTGCTTTCCATTCACATTTTAAAACATTAATTGTGGTGCAGCTAATGCATCCAGAAACACATAGTTGTGGATGTTGATTTTTTGCATTGATCTCCTCATGACTCTTGAATAGTATGGGGTAACTTCTGTTCCAGGCAGCCTTAGTTTCAAAAGAATTACTTTGAAACCGCTGCAGTTTTACATTCAGTTTCCTGACAGTTTGAGAAAAGGAGGAGCTGCAGCATTTGAGGTGTAAAGTGTTTCCATTGGTAACTTCAAAGACGAATGTTTTAATAGTCCTGTATTTGTTATATTTTTTCAGTGAAGCACTCCATACTTTGATTAACTTAGTGTCTCAATTGCTGTGTTTTTTCAAGAAAAGCTTGTATGTGCTCACAGACAATGCTTGGAGGTCTACTGGATCTTAGCTCTTCTCCTGTGGACACCTGAAACTTGCAGTTACCTAGTAGTCCCCATTATATCCACACTTGTCTGGAGGATCAAGACGAATGTAGATGCAGACTGCATGTGCCTGGCCAAACTTCCCTGGCCTCACCTTTTCCCTATTTTTACCCCTGTCATAAGTGCAACTTTTTTTCTGTGTTCCTATAGTACATGAGAGGATGTAGGAGCTGGAGGGAGAGAAAGTGTGTGTGCATATAGCCAGCCTTATCTAGTGTTGCCTGCTGCAGCTTCCCTGTGAGAGGCCTTGATGCTACAGATAAGACTTGTGTGTTTGCATTGTCTGTAATGGGTTATTGGCCTAAACACTGCAGGTACCTTCCTGCTTTGTGTAGGCTGTGGAAGGTCTGCCTTTGCTCAGAGCAGAGCCCTAAGATACCTCTGCGACTGTGTGTTTTCAGGGAGCCTTTGGATGTGTGTAGGTATGTGCAGCTGTTGAATTCTCCTCGAGAATATCTTCAGTGAATTGTAATTGGCCATTTTCAATCTCCTCCTTTCCAGAAGGTTTGTCAGGTTGGTCTCAGCCTGTCATGGGAAATCATCCGATGCATCAGCAGCTGTCGGACCCGGGCACGTTTTCTCAGCATCAGCCAATGGAGAGAGATGATTCTGGAATAGTAGCTCCCTCGAATATTTTCCACCAACCTATGCCAAATAGTTTTGTGGATTTTTCTAAAGTAAGTTACAGAGGGTTGGATTTAGTCTATAAAATGACCAAGGACTGACTTTGTTGTACATTCTGTTCTGCCTGTACACTGTACGTTGTGCCTCTTCTACCATTGCTTGCTGTACCCAGTCCTGAACTTTCTTCCCAGTACTGACTAGAAAAGGTCTCCAAGCTTCGTGATGTGTTTAAAGAAAACCAAAATTTGTAGATTGCAGATGTTGTCTTGTCAAGTAGCTGAATGCCTTCGTCACTCTCCAGTGTTTCCTTTCTCAGAGGCTCAGTCTCTTGGAAACGTTTCATAAGGTTTGCTCGGGTCTTGAGACTGATTAAAGGTTTACTTAATGCTTTCAGTACAAATCATGCCCGTGAATACTACATGCCTTTCTTAAGGGAGTGGCAGGATGAGAGGACCGCTTGTAAGTCTATACCTTGTCTGTTAATGCTGGAAAGCAGCTTGAGGTGGAGGGATGTAGCCAAGCCATAGTCAGCTTGGCCACCACTGGAGGAATGTCCAGGACGATGTGCTCAACAGCAGTCCGGCTCACAGCATGTTTCAGAAGTAGCTGTAGCATGTGCTCTTAGGATCTTCTAAATTGCAGAGCAGCAATCATTCAAACACAGGAAAGAAATCTCAATTGCAAAAAGCTGCTCTGTAACTTCCTCTTTCTGAACTGGAAGAATATTTTAGATGGCCATTAGTAATTTATAGAAAATCTTCAACTCAACGTCTTGTAGGCTCAAGCTGCATACAGGCTTTGCTGAAGTGCAGCCCTGCGTGCACCAAGGTTCTCGCATGCTGCAGAGGTGAGAGGAGGGAACACTAAGATCACTTTGTACAGCTGTGTCTGGCTTTATGGGGTCATCTGAAAGCACTGTGCAGAGGCTGCTGCATACGGTCAAGGTGTAATTTCAGAAAAATGGGTAAACTGACTTGAATCTCAAGCTCTGAAAAATCACCATATACCATACTCTGCCTAGGTTTGCAGCAATGCCCCATTTCCTCACAGTGCTGAGATGTTTTCCAGTAGGTGAACGTTACGTATGGATGGGAACTGCCTCAGTCGTCTTGGCAAATGTGGTACTACAGTCATCCTTCGCTGATGGTGCTTTCTCTTGTTCCCTCAGGGCCTACCGATTTCCATGTATGGTGGCACTCTAATACCCTCACACCCTCAGCTAGCGGATGGCCCAGGAGGCCCCCTCTTTAACGGGCTCCATACTCCAGATCCTGCCTGGAATCCCATGATCAAAGTTGTCCAGAACTCAACAGAATGTACTGATGCTCAGCAGGTAGTGTGGCTGCCTTTTTACACCTTTGCTTACCTGGGGCTTTTTACAGTGTGCTTTGTTTTGTTTTTCTTCATTTTTGGATAGACGACTTTTTTTCAGTTCTTTGATACTAGAATTGAGATTGTTTGCATGACTTTTCCCTTACAGCGTGTGCATGTTTATAAAAAAATATATGGCGCTATGCATACCAAACCCTTCAGGTAAAATAAGCAGCATTTCAAGACTGCTCAGCCACGTAACTAACTTTATTATAAGTGAGAGGGTTTGTATCCATACTCAGCATCTTGTAGGTTGTCAGTCAAACCTTGACCAGAGCTGAAGAGAGCTCCCAGCCTTTGGACAGTCTGGTTGTATTTTAGGGGGAAGCCTGAAGTTTGCCTTCTAGTGGTTAAACACTCTGTTAAAGGAACCTTTATTTGTTTTCATAATAGACTTGTCTTTTTATTTCTTGCTGTAGATTTGGCCTGGCACCTGGGCACCTCACATTGGAAACATGCATCTCAAGTACGTCAACTGATTTAAGGGGGTCTATCCTTTTTTAGCCTTGTTTGGGAATCTTTATGATCTTGAAGAACCCTGGGGATTTTTTTTAATGTGCCTAAGTCTAAGCAATTTTCTGTGGGCTGTAACGATGGAAACTTGATTGCCCGTTGTATAAGAACAAATTGATTTACCTATACAAACTGATTCTGTTCTCCAGTTAGTTTAGCCATTTTGAACTTAAAAATCAGATGAAACTAGTGCTTTTGGCTAAACGCTCCTGAATGCTCCTTGTATGCAGCAGAGAACTAGCTGATTACATGATTTCAACCTCTTAGGGTGGTAAATACATGTATAATTGTTTACAGACTTAAAAGGAAAAGCTGAAAATTTCATGTCGTATAGTGGCTCTACTTTATGTAGCCTGTATTAATGTGAAATATTTACCTGAATATTCAATAAAAGGTGAACAGTATTTATAGGTTGTGTGTGAGAATTTTGGAAGAGGCTGTATATTGTTGTCATCAGTAGCTGCTGCTGTACTCAGTGATGCATCTTCTCAGGGTCATGTAATTAGCACATGGATGCAGTCAGGGTTTGGGGGAGGGTTTTGATCCGCAGTCATCTGCGATATGACGTCTGCTGAGTCCTTCCCCCTGACAGTTGTCAGCCTTTTATTTTTTTGTGTGTGAACGTGGTTGTGCATTTTTATTTTTTTTTTTCCTTCTGGATTAGTTCTGCTGCTTCTGGCACTCGTTTTCCAGGTGGGTTGCCTGAGAGATGAGGTTTTGTTCAGGGGCTGGAAATAAGGGCTGAGTTGACAACATTGGTAACTGATGGCAATTTAATTTGCAGGAGGTAAATAGGTAGCGTGTAGTTTAAATGCAGGGTTTCTTCACCTGACTCGCTGTGACCAGCTGCCTAGAAGCAGATCTTAGAAAAGCAGAGACCACTTCCCACTAGAGAAAAATATAATATATTCAGTTCTAAGCTTTTTGTAACCCTTTAAATTTGCTAAGAGCTCCTCAAGTCCTTTCCATGAGGAAGAAGGGGATTTTTGCATACCACTTAAGATGAGCGTTCATTCTCCACCCAGGTGCAGAAGTTCTCCACTTTCTGCACTTGGACTATGCTTATTTCTGCTTCTGCTCAGTGGTGATGCAGTAACTACACTGAATATTTGGTCCATTCCTCAAGCAGGTAACTACAGTGCACATAGTGTTCAGTCTAATGGACCACTTTCGGTGGTCTCTCAGACCAGATGCAGACTTTTCCACCTTCCTCCACCTTCACCAGACAAATCCTTACATGCAGCAGCAGAGTTTCCCCAGGAAAAGCATGAGGAAGGAGTACTGAAAACCCAAAGTGCACAAGCAGTATCCTGAGTATTTTTCCTTGTATTTGAGGAAGACATGCAAAAACCATTGAACTTCTGCTGCCCCCCTGATAGCACAAATGCCAAAGGATAAGTGTTGGTGTTAACAGTAATTGTATTGAAAACAAATGGTATTGTAGTGCAATAGGTGTTTGCTGTTGGGGTGAGTTGCAGGGGAGGGGTGGGATGGGGGAAGGGCATTAGGCCCCTCCCCGGCCCCTCCTCCACCCCATCCATGCGGGCTCCGTGGCCACAACAGGCACCACCACCACCTTCTGCCCCATCCCCGGGAGCCACTGTCTCCCCATTCCAGAGGGCTACAGCTCCACACCAAGTGGCACCGTCTTTACCACACCAGGGGGTAAGACCCAGCATGGGAATGGGGTTGTCCCTTGAACAGAATGGTGTCCTCAGCCACCCCATCCCTGCCTACTTTAGGTAGCTCCTTCCTGAGCAGGTCCCTTCCTGGGCTCTCCACCTTGCAGCTTAGTCCTTGGGGGGCATGGCCACCTGCACTGGGCACCAGATTCAGACAGACCTATGGGGTGGTGACTTCCCTGGCAGCCCAGAGCTGGAGTGGAAAAGGGAACCCCAAAGGAAGATAACTGCTAGAAGTTAGGGCCATCATTGCCCCGTGGTAGCAGGGGGAGCACGCAGAGGCAGCGCCTGGTGCTCACACTGCTGGGGAGCAGGCTGCTGGCAGTGCCACTGGGGTGGAGGATGCAGCACTGGTCCCTCAAGGGTGGGTCATGCCCAGGCACGACTGGCTGGAGCTTGGGGAGGTGCAGGGGGCTAACACAAGTCTGCTCCCACTCGAGTTCACCAGCTGTGGGGGGAAGGTACTGGGTGGCACAGCTCCTTCCAGGGGTACCCTAGGCCTGCTCTCTTGCCCCCCTTCCAGCTGCCCACCAAAGCCCCCTGGTTCAGCTGCCGAGCAGGTCCTTTTCTTTGCTGTCTGTCCTCAGGGTAGCATGTGCCCTGTCCCTGAGCTGGGCATGTTTCAGTTGAGCCGCAGGTGCCCACCCTTGTGGGCACTGGCTCCATTGTATGTCTCTGATAAGCTTAGCTGGGGCTGGGGAGCCAGGCCCAGTGCTGGCGGGGCTGCAGCAGGCGCGGGTTGTGTAATGTGTTTGTGGTGCTGGGAAAGGCCCAGCCTGTGCAGGAGCTCTGGGTTTGCTGCCACATCGGGCTGAGCTCACTTTCAGAGCCTGGCAGGTAACTGGTGCTTGGCTGCAGGGACAGCCAGGTAGAGGAAGGCAGGTCTGGACGTGGTGCAGGGCAGCAGACGTGGCTGGCGTGACCTTGGGGAGCACTGGCAGGTGCTTGGGGTGTGGGGGGGAGGCAGTGCATGTCCTGGGTGGGCACTGCCTTGGGGCTGTACCACACAGCAAGCTGGCACGCTGGAGGAGGTGTCCCATCGAACCCAGTGTGTTGTCCTCGTGCAGCGCACAGCAGGGTGGCTCTGTGGCTGAGCTGATGGGAACGGATCCCCAGGTATAGCTCCCCATGGTGCCAATGGGTGGTGGGCACCCAGCCTTTGCTGTTTGATAGCTGCAGGGAGCCACGCCTGAGCCAGCCACCTCTGGGCAGGGTGTGCTGGGGATGTGCCTGCTGCCGGGCCGTTAGGCCTGGGCTGTGTGCTGAGTGCGCTAGGGCTGGCCTTGCCTTCCAGGCAGCGCAAGGGGTGGCTGCAGTGTCAGCTGCCATGTGGCACCCGCAGAGCTCCAGGAACCTCAAGGGCAGGAACAATGTGAGGAAGAGCTGCTGGGCAGGATAGGTGTCACAGTCTGCCATGGGGGAAACCCCACAGTGGCTCCAGAGCCAGCTGTGTCCCTGAGCCATGGCCAAGTGCTGGGTCTCACACCCTGTTCCAGGCTCAGGCCGTGGTGCTCAGAGACTGGGACGGCCAGAGACCTGACAGCCCCCTGCTTTTGGCAGGTACCCGCATCATCTACGACCGCAAGTTCCTGCTGGAGTGCAAGAATTCACCCGTGGCCAGGACCCCTCCCTGCTGCCTGCCCCAGATCCCCGGTGTCACATCCCTGGCCCAGTCCAGCCTCGTCAAGCTGGAGGAGCTCAAGGAGCGGAATGAGAGTGAAGAAGCCATGCCAGGTGAGCAGGCCAGGCATGCAGCCCCTGCCTACACACTTCCTGGGGCATGGGGCTCCTGCTTGGCTGCAAGGGCAAGGGGAGATCCCAGTTCCAGCTCCTGCCCCCTTTGCACGTTTCTCCCAAGGCAACCCCATCCTAACCCTTACCCTGTATCCCTCCGTACCCTTGCAGATCAAGACCAGTTTGAGATGGACATCTAAGTTTCCAGCTCCCCGTCTCCAGGCCATGGCTGGGCCTGTTCCTGGGCCTCGTGGAGGTGCTGGCACCGTGACCAGCTGGCTGCAGCCCTCTCTGATGCTGGGGATGGATGTGTGACACCTCAGGCTCTAGCACAACTGGCTGGTGCAATTGCCTAGGAGCTCATGCTTGATCAATAAACACCATGAAACCCCTGTGCTGACCTGGTGCATCTCTCTGTATGTTGGGGCTCAACTGGGTCCTCAGAGCCCCAGAGAGGAGAGCTAAGAGGAGCTGAGCAGCACCAGGAACCCTTTGAGGGTGCAGAGGATCTCTTCCCTCCTGCACCAAGACCCTGCAGGCTGTGGGTGGTGGATGAAGGACCCTTGGGGTCTGCTCCCAGGCTTGGGGTGCCACACACAGCTTGCCCCAGCTGTGGTGGGGGTGGCTGGTGCGGCCTTCCTGCGAGCATGGGAGGGAGCAGCACAGCGCAGTGTGCTTGCTGTCCAGGGTAAATGTTAACACCCTGTGCTTACCTGACCTGGTGGGCATCCCTCATAATGTGATGTGTAGCTGCAGCACAAATGCTGGCCATGCCAGGCTCCTCTGGCCTAGTGGCAGATTAGCCTCCCCAGCCAGCCTAGAACTCCTCAGGGGCCATCTCCTCCTGCAGAAAAGCTGGGCCACCATGTGTCTGCTGCTGTACAGCCCCACCCCCCAATGCCAAAGGCCAGGACAGAGATCGCCAGGCTTTGCCAACCGGTGCAGCAGGGAAACGCGTCGCTGCCCGCTCAACTCGAGTGATGCTGGGGGTGCTGCCAGGGGGATTCCTTCCCTTCATGTCTTGTGGGCTGTGAGCACCCTGCCAGGGTGAGAGCCCCTTGGTCAAGTATGAAGTTGCTGTGGCCTCACCCACCAGTCCTGTCTCCCACTGCTCCTGGGAGAGAACCAGGACCCATCTGGTACCAGAACCCCAGGGCAGGCTGCGGCCAGGGGCAGGTTAGTGCTGTTTATTAAACATCAAGTAGTGAACTGCCACTAAAATATCGCAATGATTAAAATCCCCTTTTCCTGGGCAAGGACTGGGAGGTAGAGGAGGCGCCCAGACCCCCTTGGGCAGTGAGGGCCATTCTGCCGGTGCACCTGGGCATGCGCTGCCCTGCTGGCAGTCTGCAGCCCCATCCCTGGCATCAGGGATCCTCCTGCCCAGGCCCAGCCGCGGTGCTGCCATCTGTTGCCGCAGCAGGCAGGCTCCTCCTCTCGGCGACCCCCCCCCCAGCCACTGGCTCACCTCGTTCACATGGTCCACCATGAGCGAGCGGTGGATCTCATCAGCCCCATCCCAGTGCTGTTGCTGGAGCTCTGCCAGGAAAGGGGAACCCATCAGTGGTGTGGGGTCAGCCCTCCCACGGGTGCCCCCTGCCCGATGGCCTGGCACAGGCCCAGATGCAGCCTCACCTTGCACTAGGAGGCTCATCCTCTTCCTCACTGGGGCCGACAGCTTCCCCTGAGCCCATGCATCCCCCAGCACTGTCAGCCGCCGCCCAATGTCGTCGCACACTTGTTTCTGGAAGC